TAGGCTGCGAGCCGGAATATGACGTCATCTTCCGGCTCCCAGACTCACTCTGTGGCGCGCGAGGGAGCTGAGCAGTCAGCTCATAGGAAGTGCTCCCTCGCCAGCCGCCCGCACAGCAGCCAGAGCCGCCCGCCCGCTCGGGATGTCAGTTAGCCGCAAGGCTAACTAGGCATTTGCCCTGGGCATTTGGGGGGCAGCGTTTTTTGCCGCCCCCTGAAAAATGCTGCCCAAGGCAAATGCCTTGTTTGCCTCGCGGCTAATACGCCCCTGATCTCAAGCATTCACCCCATAGAGATGAGGAGGGGGAGGAATTCCAGACACAAAAAAATACGCAAAAAGGAGGAAAATATATGGGTGTGAGTTCGGTGTGGGATCGGTAAACATGGCTGGTTGGAGAGGATACATTTCTGGTTGGAGAGTGGCTGTGGACAAGGAAACATGACTGGCATAGAGGATATATTGCTATGGAGGGAAGAAAGTATTACTGTCTAGTGGACATTTATAAAGTTGCTGACATAATAGGATGCCCAGAGACATGAAATGGTGAAACTCATCATATAGTTACATAGCTGAAGAGACAGGTGTCCATCAGTGTTCAGTGTTTATGACATTTTTTTCTTGCTATTAATCCAAAAGAAGGCAAAAACCCCAATCTGAAGCGCTTTCAATTTTGCAGCAAACTTGGAAAAAATTCCCTCCAGACCCCAAAATGGTAGTCAGATATATCATTTGATCAAGAAGCTATTACCCCACTAATTAAAAATTATATCCCTGTATATCATGTTTTTGCAAGTATTTATCCAACTGCTGTTTAAACATCTGTATAGACCAGGGGTAGTCAGCCTGGTCCCTACTAGTGGGTGGTTAGGGATTTCAGGTGTACAGTGGTGGGTTCTGCAGAAAACGTCCAGTGGGCCTCGATGGCCATGGACCAAGGCCGGCAGGAGAGATCCTTTCATCTTCCCTGCCGACCCATGCAGAGCCAGCCTTACTGTTAGTCCAGGGCTGTATTTACTGCAAGGCTGACAAGGCATTTGCCCTGGATAGCACTTTCCAGGGGGCGGCAAAAAACGCCACCCCCAAATGCCCGACTGGCCACCTTTGGGCTCCCCCGGGGCGGGTGGCCAGTTCTGTCCCAGGCAGGCGGCGAGGGAGCACTGATCTGTACTTCTTCTTGCTCAGCTCCCTCATGCGCCCTGCAGTAATGCTGGGAGCCGGAATATGACATCACTCCGGCTCTTGGCGTTACTCTGCGACAAGCGAGGGAGCTGAGCAAGAAGAGCTCAGCTCCTTCACTTCCCGCTTTGCCCGCCTGCCTGCCCCATCTTCCTGCCTGCCCAGCAGCCTTATCAGTCAGCCCAGCGGCCCCAAAGCTAGGGATGCTGGGTAGATTTAAATTGGCAGTCACACTTTGCATATGATTCCTACATCCATTCTGTCATACATGCATGCACACTCACACTAGCCCTTTGCATCCTCTTTTAGATGTCCCTTTGTTAATTTGATATCATTTTAACACTGACAGTATTTTAGTTATTTTTTCTAGTTAATTGTTAATTCTTCATTAGGGCACTTGTTTCAGCATCTTACAAGTGCATAATTTATATAAAATGTTAATTGAGGCAGTAATGCAGCAATTTGGTGTCTGTATATGACATAAATATCAAAGGGAGGGATTAGGCTAAGGCTGGAGCTCAGTCTTCCATCTGAAATATTATATGTTGAATATTGATAAAAAGTAAGCAAGTTTTCTCTAGAATATGTTGTATATTTTAAACTTTTTGTTTAAATATGTGTTTGTGAGTCTGTCAGTGAATGTGGGTTTGTCTGTCAGTGTGTACATGGGAGTGTGTATGTGTCTGTCTGTCAGTGATTGTGGGGGTGTGTCTGTGAGTGACTGTGTATGTGTGTATGTTAGTGAATGTGTGCGTGTCTGTCAGTGAGTGTCTGTCAGTCAGTGTCTGTGAATAAGTGATTGTGTGTGTGTGTCTGTCAGATTGTGTCAAATCAGTGAGTATGTGAGTGAGTGTGTGTCTGAAGTCAAAGTGTGTAAGTCTTTAAGAGGAAGAGATGTGGCTTTGACAGGAAGAAAGGGGTGGGGCAAATTTAAACTAGGGGGTGCCCAAGTTTTGTCATGCCTAGGGCAGCACAGATTCAAAATACACCACTGTGTAAGCCATCTCGGGCTAGTGAGGAGATCAAAGATCTCCCTCACCGACCCACTGGCACTTAGAGGGATGGAAGAGCCTGGGAGGCTCTGTGTTCTTCCCGCAGGCTGGTTGGAGCGTTGCCGCGCGTTACCATGCCAACACTCTGATACAGTGCTGTGCTCACAGAAGAGTCAGCCTGCAGCAGGCTAAAGTGATGTCCCCCTCTCTGGTAAAAGGTAAGAAGGGAGGGAAAGACATTAAGATAGATTTTCACATCTCACCCACCTACACACAGCATAGACCCTATGCACCCTTCACACACACGCACTGTCTCCCTCCACATACATGCACTGTCCCCCTCCACACACATGCACTACCCCCCTCTACACACACACACGCACTGCCCCCCTCTACACACACACGCTCTGCCCCCCTACACACACGCACTGCCCCCCTCCACACACACACACAGCACCTCACAGACACACATAAAAAAAGTAGAATAGAGAAAAAAAAGATACATTTAAGTACATTTTTATTGTATTTTTAAAAACTCTCCTTTCAAAAAATAAAAATATTGCACTTGCGCTATAAAATTAGTTACTGCGGCACTGGTGGGTGGTAAGGAAATTTTACCATCAACAAAGATACAAAAGTGGGCGGTAGGAATTAAAAGGTTGACTACCCTTGGTATAGACTAAAACCGCCTCTTCAGGCAGATAATTCCACATCCTTATTGTTCTAACTATAAATAAACCCTTTCTTTGGCCTTAGACTAAATCTACATTCTTCCAGTCTAAATGTGTGACCATGTGTCCCTATGTATAGTCCTGTTTATGAAAAGATTTCCAGACAATGGTTTGTATGGGCCCTGGATATATTTGTATAATGCTATCATATCCCCTCTGAGATATAATGAAAGGGGTTAAAAACTGATGGAAGTAGGTTTTCTCTGTAAGAAGCAAACTAGATACACAATAAACCTACAGAATTGTTTCAACAGTTTTTTTTGTTTTTGTTTGTTTTGTTCTTAGCTGTGGTTTCTTTTTATTACAGAAGCCAGATGACCGGCCTGCCTTCCGAATTCTACATTCTGCCATACTGGAAATTATGGAGGATATGTGATAAACGTGAAACAAACTGTGTATATTATATAATAATAAGTTGTCAGTGCTGGGGTTTTAATGATTCCCTTTCTTAATCTCAAGTTCATTAAATAGGTTTATTTTGGTTTCAAGGACAGGGCTTGCATATAGTTGTATGTATAAAGAACTTTTAATAAATACTATTAAAATCAGAACAGATTGCCCTTCTGGATGTTTGCTGACATCACATAAGAACCGAGGGGGTTGCAATTTCTTAATATTAAAGTTATTGTAAATGATTATTAGGTGTGCACTATAGTTTCATTAATCGAGAGAAAATGGTGGTATTGCTAATTTTACACTGAGACATCAACATTTCTACGCTAATTAAATCAGTTGCAATGCTATTGTCATATGATAGAACAGTTACAGTGAAGTAGGTACTGAAAAGACTGAAATCCGTTCAAGTACAACTTTATGTTTGTTATAGGATAATAACAAAGGGGTTATGCAAACTATTACCGCAAATGGATAAAGGATTATGGCCTTAATTTAAATTTAATTTGTTTGAATCAGCATCAGAAATTATTCCACAGAATAGAGCATGAATTCAGTGCCAATCAACACAATATATGCAGAATGGGCAGCAACCCAAGCGAAGGAAACCCCTCAATTCCTTCAATGGATCCAATACAATACAACAAAAAGATAGAGTAGGGCTGCGCCAATACGAATAAAATAGTCTTAGAAAGGGTAGGCAGTCTCACTAGAGTAGCAGTAGATAATCAGGGAAACTTGATAAGACGTATTCTCTTCAATGGGAGTGGATACGTCTCTGGGTGTTAGTTCGTATATATGAAACAGAGAAGAGGCAGAAAGCAACAAATAGTGCAGTACGTCTAGAGTCCAAAAGTGCAGTAAGTAACAAGAGGTAGAGAACTCACATTTAAAAGAGCTTTGGCTTTCTCTGGTGTGAAGAGCATACAGCGGTATTATCCCCGCTTATGGGATGTGGGAAGATGTATCAGTCAGCACCGCCTGGTAATCAAAAGCTCCAAAGGGAAGATAAAAGGCAACAATAGGGCTCTTAATTGTGATAAAATAGAGTATAAAAGAGTGATAAGAGTAATACTCACAAGTGTAGAGCAGAAACACTGCTCTATTGATATAGCATTGGTGTTATGATCCACACCTTGGAGTAACAGCATAGGGCAGGCTTACTGCTCGATGGTATCAGCTCTGGTGGTATAATCCCTACCTCGGATTTATTTTGATTAGTAGTAAAAAGCCAAGTAGCAAAGGAAATATATTATCAAATATATTTTAAAATGGTAAATACAATTTAAACGAAATTTGTACAAACCCGGTCTTTTTGTCCAAAAGAATTCCTTTATTCAGTAGTAAAGTAAATATAAAACATCCAAATACGCGTTTCGCCTATGTGGCTTTCTCAAAATGGGATAAAAACCTTTTCCTGATTATCTACTGCTACTCTAGTGAGACCTCCTACCCTTTCTAAGACTATTTTATTCATATTGGCGCAGCCCTACTCCATCTTTTTTGTGTTATATTCAGAAATTATTCCAGTCTGTTAAATGATTTATCTACCAAATTTACCACAGACATTAATGGTGACTTCTGTCAATAAAACATTAAAAAAAACTGACACAGATATGACTTATTCAAACTAATTAAAATGAGGCCTATTTCAGGAGTATAGATATCTGTACTTTCCCATCACCCAAGTTAATAACAAGTACCTTTGGGTGAACTGCCTCATTTTTTACTACAATCATTTATTAGATGATTACAAATGTCTTGCCCTCATCAAGTCAATTAATCTCTATTTTATTTGTAACTGATAATAAGGAAAATTGTTTCATACTTATCGTAATTTTCTTTTCCTGATCATTATTCATGGCAGCATTTACTCATGGGTTTCATACGGTAAATATGAAACAATTTTCCTTATTCCTGATCAGTCATGGCAGCATTTACCCATGGAAAATACCCAAGCAGTATATATAGTGGGAGGGACAGCTAATAGTTATAAAACCATTATTGAGCTGCATAAACCTTATAAGACTTTAAAAAAGCCAAACAAGTAATCAATAGGATATTATCATAAAATGTGGTCAGACAAGTTAACTTACACCAGAGGCTGCAAAGTCAGCAATCCCCTGGCATTCAAATGTCTAAAATATCCTGGAGAAATATAGAGCCAAATAGGAATTAATGGCATGATAACCAAACCTATAGAAGGAAAAAGGCTAAACTAATACAAGACAAACTCTCGTAAGAAATAAGGAACCCATAGTTAGGAATAAAAAAACATGCGTGCTAGCACTCCTGCTACCCCTCCACAACAAGGTCCTGGAAGGTAAGTAAAGCTAGTTTTACACTTTCATTATAGTTAGTGAATTCACTAAGCTTAGGACATGGGACATTTAGGGTTAATGTTAGGGTTCAAATTAGGGTTAGGATTAGGGACTTGTTTATATTTAGGGATATTTCACATGAGGGGAATATCTATACATTTCTCACACTTTATTTTAACCCTTACCCCAAGGGTTAGGGTAAGAATAGAGTGTGAGAGAGGTTAAAATAACTTACCTAACCCTAATTTGAACCCTCACTTAAGCCTAAAACATTTTAACAGGTCATGTTACATTTTAACTTAGGACCCCTTATTTGATAGCAGCTTCACAAGTCTTGAATCCATTGAACTTGTGAGTTTTTGGACAGTTTCTGCTTGAATTTGTTTGCAAGATGTCAGAATAGCCTCCCAGAGCTGCTGTTTGAATGTAAACTGACTTCCACCCTCATAGATCTTTTGCTTGAGGATGCGCTGAAGGTTCTCAATAGGATTGAGGTCAGGGGAGGATGGAGGCCACACCATGACTTATTCTCCTTTTATCCCTGTAACGAAATGATTTCGAGTGATTTCATGCAAACAGCGAGAAAAAAATAGTGGCAAGCAACAAACCGAAAGCCATGTTAATAGCTGAACTACTGGAGAGCGATCAAACCGGCGAACAACGAATGGCGAATGCAGAGGAAACAGAGTTCCAGAGGGATGTGAGATGGAGACTCAGCCTGGTAGGACCTAACCCTGCACCAGAGATCATGGTACAGATCTTGGCACAAGCTACAGAGACCCAGAATGCCAGGGAAGCCCGAGAAGCCAGAGACAGATCACCTCCTGTGGATATATTGTCGCTATCTAGATCTACAATGGGGCGTCAGTGGAAAATCAACTACACTGCATTTAAAAGCTTCGTGGAAGGTGAGATGGATATTGATAATTACTTGCAAGATTTTGAGAGACAATGTGTGCTAGAAGATTTGGAAAGAGCTAACTGGGCTGCAGTATTAAGCAGCAAATTATCAGTTAGAGCAGCCGAAGCGTTGAGAGCTGTGCCAGATGGGGATATACAAAACTACGAAAAAATAAGAGATTTTGTTAGCTCGGTACGCTGTAACTCCTGAATCCCATAGAAGGAAATTTCGGGCCCTCAGGAGGCAAGGCAAGGATTCGTATACTGAGTGGGCATTTTGTATGCAACGCGATGCCAGTAATTGGATGCAGGGGAATCATGGCAACTACCTTAGAGGATACTGTACAATTGATATTACTGGAGCAATTTTTTTATTATACACCAGCGGAGGTGAGAGACTGGGTCAGAGACAGAAAGCCAAAAACAGTGGAGGAGGCAGACGAATTTCATGAGAGCAGACGGATGGATGGAAATCGAGGGTTCCAGGGCCAGCGGCCTGCATCTGGTCCGCCAGCTATGCCGCAGAGGGTACCACCACCGGGGAGCAATACCACAACCCTGGGGGTGCAAGCAAGTGGGGCACATCAAACCTAATTGCCCACAACGCACTACAGACCGCTGGGGGCGGACACCAGTACCACCGACCAAAGCAGCCGCACACTGTGTGCAAGAGGATTACAACTCTCTGACTCAAGAGACACCCAGTAACCACAGTGAGAATTGGGCCACCTTACATGAGGTGAACCCTGTGCAAGCGGCTGGGGCGCACCACCGCCAGTCGGTAAAGCTAAATGGACAAGAGGCTTGGGGACTGAGAGACAGCGGGGCTACTATTACCTTGGTCCAGCCACACCGGGTCACCCCGACCCAGCACATGGGACGCACCATTGCTGTAAGGGTGGCCGGAGGGGCAATTCATAAACTACCAACAGCCCGGGTACACATTGATTGAGGTACGGGGCCAGATTTGCCAGCGGAAGTGTTGCTGGGGAATGATTTAGAATGCCTGACGTCCCAATTGGCAGCCTGCAGTCCAGAAGGAGCACTACCTGTTACCACCCGGCAGAAATCCAGAGCTATGGAGGCCTCCCCCTCAACCCATGACCAGGTAAGCAATAACCCTCTGACGATTCACCCTGACCATACTTCTTACTGGGGTACCCCTCAAGACATTGAGCAAGCTCAGCGGGAAGATCCCACCTTAAAGGGATATCGGAGGGAGGCCGAACAACCCCAGGCAGACGGAGATCAGGCAAGGTTTATCTGGGAAAAGGGTTTACTGTACCGAGTGACTGGGGGGACAGGGAAAGGAGCGGGTCAGGTAGAAAAAAGACAGTTAATAGTGCCCCGTAATTATCGGGTAGAACTGTTACGGATTAGCCACGATATCCCCCTAGCAGGTCACTTAGGCATTAAAAAGACTAGAGACCGACTCACCCAATCATTTTTCTGGACGGGGGTCACTAGAGATTTGCAGGATTATTGTAGGACCTGCGAGGTATGCCAAAAGGTAGGGAAGAGAGGGGATCACTCCAGGGCAAAACTACGTCCCCTACCCATCATTGAGGAACCATTTTTGCGAGTGGCCGTTGATTTAGTCGGGCCACTCAGCAAACCCAGTCCATCCGGTAAGAAATACATTCTTACTGTGGTGGACTACGCTACCCGCTACCCCAAAGCTATAGCGCTGTCAAATATACATGCAGAGATGGTGGCGGAAGCACTGGTTCAGGTGTTTACTAGGGTGGGATTCCCTAGGGAGATAGTGTCGGATCAGGGAACCCAATTCACAGCGGTGGTTACCCAACAGCTCTGGCAGAGCTCTGGGGTAAAACCCATATTAAGTTCTCCCTATCACCCCCAAACCAATGGCCTCTGTGAACATTTTAATGGCACTCTTAAGCAAATGCTCATCACGTTCAGAGACCTGTCGGAATTGGGAAAAATTCCTTCCCCATTTGCTCTTTGCCTATAGGGAAGTTCCCAAGGAGTCCACCGGATTCTCCCCGTTTGAACTATTATACGGGAGACGGGTCCAGAGACCCCTAGATCTAGTACGGGAACATTGGGAAGGTGATATGGAACAAGCAGGTACCCCTATAGTCCCATTTGTACTAGAGTTGAGGGACCAGCTGCAGGTTCTGACCGAAACAGTTCGGGAGAACCTGCGGGCAGCCCAACAACGGCAGAAGTACTAGTAGAACAAGGGAGCTAGAGACCCTATATTAGAAGTAGGACAAAAGGTCCTAGTGCTTAAGCCTATCAAAACGGATAAGTTACAAGCCTCCTGGCAGGGCCCCTAATAGAGCAGATCAGTGATACCACTTACATTGTGGCAGACTGTTCTGATGGAAGGATCCGGCGGTCTTTCCATGTAAATATGCTCAAGCCATATCTCGAGAGAACAGAGGAGGTCTCCGCGGTATGCGCTCCAGCGTATGAGGATAGTGAGGGTATTCCTTTACCGGATATGCTTCCCCAAGAACCTACAGGGGTAGAACAGGTACAGTTGGGTCCAGAATTAGGTCCCGAGGAGCAAGCTCAGGCTTCCCAACTGTTAAAGGAGTTTGGGGGCATGTTTTCAGCAGCCCCAGGGTATACGACCCTGGCAGTCCACAGAGTGGAGACCCCAGGCCAGTTACCCCTGCGGCAGCAGCCCTAGCGAATCCCCGAGGCAGTACGGGAAAGCATGTTAAAGGAAATCCAGGACATGTTAGAACTGGGAGTCATAGAACCGTCCCAAAGCCCTTGGGCTTCCCCAGTAGTCCTGGTTTCTAAGAAAGACGGTACCACCAGGTTCTGTGTGGACTACCGTAAACTAAACGATCGGACCGTTACCAACGCATGCCCCATGCCCAGAGTAGACGAGCTGCTAGACCGTATGGCTGGGGGGAATTATTTGACCTCTATTGATTTGTGTAAGGGATATTGGCAAATCCCCTTGGAGCCTGGGGCCATTCCAAAATCGGCATTTGTCACACCATTTGGCCTATACCAGTTTAAGGTTATGCCATTTGGGATGAAGAATGCCCCAGCTACGTTCCAAAGGATGGCGGACCGGCTCCTAGAGGGATTTCAGGGCTTCGCTTGTGCTTACCTGGACGATATAGCACTTGGGAAGCCCACCTGGAACACATCTCAGTAGTGCTCAACCGAATTCAGAACGCATGGCTCACCTTGAAGCCAGAGAAATGCCACGTAGGCATGGTTGAAGTCCAATATTTGGGCCACAGAGTAGGGTCAGGAAAACAGAGACCAGAGCTAGCTAAGATTGAGGCCATCACCCAGTGGCCCCAACCCCGGACTAAAACACAGGTCATGGCGTTCTTGGGCACCGCAGGTTATTATAGGAAATTTGTGGCAGAATACAGTGCCCTAGCCAAACCCCTGACAGACCTCCCCAAAAAGTCCCTACCCTGACAAGTAGTCTGGTCCACTGAGTGTGAGGAGGCTTTCCAGAAACTCAAGGCTGCGTTAAGTGCATCTCCTGTGTTGGTGGCACCTGATCATACTAAAAGGTTTCTCGTTCACACAGATGCCTCAATGTTTGGACTGGGAGCAGTATTGAGCCAGGTGGGGGACGATGGCATGGATCACCCGGTGGCGTATCTGAGCAGAAAACTGTTACCACGCGAAGTCAGCTATGCCACCGTGGAAAAAGAGTGTCTGGCATTAGTCTGGGCACTTAAAAAACTACAACTCTACCTGTATGGACGCTCTTTCACAGTGCTGACTGACCACAACCCTTTGATTTGGCTTAACAGAGTAGCTGGCGATAACCCCGGACTACTCAGATGGAGCTTGGCACTGCAACCCTATAATTTTACAATGCAGTATCGCCCCGGGAAGCAGAATGCCAATGCAGATGGCCTGTCGCGGCAAACTGAATTAGAGAAGTAATTATTTTGGTTGTTTTTCTTGTTTTGCAGGACATCCCTTAGCCGACCCGTTAGGGCCTAAGCAGGTATGCCATTCCATGGGACTAAGGGGGAGCTGTGTAACGAAATCCCTTATTAAACAGACCATGCGAACCAGCCTGATCGGTTATTTGGATGGTTACAGAGTGATTTCATGCAAACAGCGAGAAAAAAACAAATTAACTACCGAACCACCCAACCTCCCACTGAGGTCGTGTGGCGCCTATTAACCACAGAGACTGTTGTGGTTAACCACAGACTAATTGGGGAATAGCTGGTGGCCCACGTTCGTTTACCAAACACGTGGCAATCGCCATTTTGGATTGTCGAACGCTCAGCGGTTAATGGCGAGGATTCCCTGGAACTAATGTCGGCTATTTATTTTGTCGAACACCGCTGCTACCTCTTCAAATCCTCGTTCGTACGGGGAAAAAATACACGAATGAAGGAGATACTGCTTCATTCGTGCGCTGTAAGTATGCGAAAGTGACCGACCCCAGATAGCTACAGTATGGAACTTGTAGTAGGCTACAAATACACGAATGGCTGGCGAAAGCCAAACTTCAGTTGACGTTTCTGAGAACTGTGTTCGTGGGATCTGAGCGCTATTCACCTAGAATATGCACTCAGATCCAAGCTATCTGAGGATATGTGGAACTTAAAGTTTATGTTATGTAAAATGAAAGTTATAGATTTTTATGCTGTTTTACTTGAGATAAGTAAGGCTCTCTTTGCTGCCTTAAGTTAATTATCTCCAGGATGGAAAAGAGGGAGTGATTTATGTAAAAGGGGAGTGCGTATGCTATAGCCACTGTGATTGGCTACTGTGTTACTTTTGTCCCAGTCTTCCATCTGGTCCCCTAGGGGAGTGTCCACCAGGTGGGAGACCTGCATAAATACCGGGCGGGTAGCCCACAGTAAATCAGATCGTTTTACCCCTTCATGAAGTCTCGACTCATGTTTGGGGGATTGGGAGTTATAATCACTTTGAAGATGATTTTATTACGGAAAGCATAGTTCTTCCTTCTGTACCAGGGAAGAAAGTGGTCAGTCAGAAACTCCACATACTTTGCAGAGGTCATCTCTATACCTTTGGGGACCCTAAAGTGGCCGACCAGCTCTCTTCCCATGATTACGGCCCAAAACATGATTCCACCACCGACGTCGCAGCCTTGTTGGAACAGGGTGGCCGTTCACCAACCATCCACTACTCCATCCATCTGGACCATTCAGGGTTGCACGGCACTCATCAGTGAACAGGACTGTTTAAAATTAGCCGTTTCTGCTTGTGAGCATTGGTTAGTGGTGGATGAATAGAATGTTTATGCACAGTTGCAAGACTCTGGAGGACTCTACACCTTGATGTCCGTGGGACTCCAGAAGCACCAGCAGCTTTAAATATCTGTTTGCTGCTATGTAATAGTATTTTAGCAGCTGCTCTCTTGATCCAATGCATGGATCTGGCAGAAATCTTCCTCAATGTGCCTTTATCTGCAAAAACCAGTCTGTGCTCTGAATCAGCCACAAATCTCTTAATAGTGCAATGATCACGCTTAAGTTTTTGTGAAATATCTAATGTTTTCATACCTCGTCCAAAGCATTGAACTATTTCACTCTTTTCGGCAGCAGAGAGATCCTTTTTCTTCCCTATATTGCATAAAAATGGTGCTCTGCTTAATAACTCCTTTAGTAGTTTTTCCATAAATTGGGCTCACCTGGCAATTTAAATTTAAATTAATATGTACTTAAACAGGAACTTTTACTTCCCAGTTGTTTTAATACTATATTTACATATTCTTTTAATCCCTTTCCAATCCCTTCCGACAAAAATCATACGTTAACGACCTCGGACATACCTGGTACGTTGGATAGTAAATCTCCACTTATCTGTTCGCTGGCGATCCCCCGCCGGCGATCGTGATCCTGGGGTCTGCCTGGGAGCTCAGGCAGACGCCCTCTGCCCGATCAGGCCCTCCTGTACCATGTGATCGCGGGGTCATCGCGATCACATGGCCGAAATAGCTGGCTTGTGCAGTGCCTGCATAAAAGTTTAAAAAGTAAATAAAAGTTATTAAAAAGTTTAATACATTTAATAGAAGTACTTAGATTTTATATGTATATATATATATATATATATATATATATATATATATATGATCTAAATACTTTTATATACACATACATAAATCATTATAAAAAGGGTATTTTAATATTAATCTCTATAATTATATATATATATATATATATATATTATTATTGAAATACACTTGGAATAACGTTAATTATATATATAATTATATATATATATTTATATATATATATATATATATATATATATATATTTATCTGAAGAAACAAAGGTGGTAAACCGCACCCAAACAGTGCAAATAATAATAAAATATATACATACAGAGAATCCTCTAATTAGGAATGTATAAAACCTTCAAGGCAAAAAGGTACAGGACAATAATAGTGCAATATGTCAGGTGAAATAAGAGTATATAAAAGCTTATAAAAGACCCACTCACACTTTGCAGAGCTACTCAGAGCTCTGCCGTATAGCGCCTTGACGGTATAATCCCCGTCTCAGGATATCAAGTGATGGTATAATGTGGTATCCAATCCTCCACAGTGGTATATGGAAAAATAAAAATAGAAGTAAAATCCAATAGTTTAGTATATCTATTAAAAAGTGTTCAAATAAAAGAAAAGTATCCTACTTACAAATTTCAGAGCAAATATCTTGCTCTGGTATAAACAGCATGAGGTGGTATGATCCCCACCAGAGGATATAAGTCAGGATGCAAGGTGTATCAGGAACAACAAATAAAGTAGTAAAAGCTATAACTTTATTGATACAAAATAAAAAATATATAATAAAAGAAGTATCAGAGCTCTTACTTAACGCGTTTCGCTCGGTCTGGGGCTTCTTCAGAAGTAATAAGTCCAAAATTCAATGGAGTCCTCTTTATATAAGTGTCCCTGATTAATGTGATTTAGTCCTGATGCAATTTCACTTCCTACTTCCAGGTCGCGTGTGCCGCCCGGAAGTGACGTCTGCGCGTCTTCTCGTAGCCTGCTGGGATATGTAGTATCCCTCCATTCATGTTGTGTGCGGCTCCCGGAAGTGACGTCAGCGTATCTCCCAATGGTTGATGGGGCATGTAGTTTACATTGTCCATTTTTCTATAAACACAGTTTCGTCACCCAGAAGTGACGTATCACGATCTGGTATTGTTCATGGGAATTGCAGTTCGGCAAATTGCCGATATAGGATACAGTACATCTAAGAATAAAATAAGTAAATTATTATATAATTAACAAGGTGGTAAAGTTTAAAGAAAGAATGTAAATATAAAAACATATAATAAAAAACAAATAAGACATATTTTTAATTAAAAAAGATAGCATATTTTAAGTAGTAACATTTTTTTAAAAAGACATCATAGAGCTATACACACAAGATATATAGGTTTATACCAGGTATTGCATACCAGAAAATAAGCATGCATAAAAATCTATAAAAAGTAACCAATATTATAAAAATGCTATGCACAAAGTGAACCATGCACATATATGGAGATCTTAAAGTGATACACAGGGGAGGTGGTGTGTCAGCAATAAAAATAGTATATAAATATGCAAAGTATATAAAAACTGGTGTAAAAGATTTTTTCTTTTAGTATTTATTATAAAAAAATTCAAAGATCAAACTCTGCATTAAGACCTTTAGGGTGTAGTGTGTCTAAAAAATAGACCCACTCCATTTCTTTCTTGCCCAATTTATTAATCATATCACCACCTCTCCAGTGTTGGGACAATTTTGAAATGCCCATAAATTTTAAGTGCCGTGGATCATTACCATGTAACTCAAAGTGTGAGGATACCAAGTGGGTTTTTAGTCCTTTTTCTATATTTCTACAATGTTCCCCAATCCTGACCTTCAACGGTCTTATAGTTCTCCCTATATATTGCAGTCCGCATGGACATTCTAATAAATATATCACGTTTTTACTCATGCATGTAATTGTGTTTTTAATACTGTAACTTTTATCTGTGTTATTTGATTTAAAATTATGAATGTATCGGTTTATTTTTTTTTGTTTTTTTGCATGCTACGCAGCAATTGCATCTAAAAAATCCATTCTTGTTTTTCATAAAATTATTTATAACTTTGCACTTTTTTTGTTTTGTATAATTTTGTGTGAGTTGCATTCTCAAATTTGGAGCTCCTCTAAAGACAATTTTTGGCTGGTCTGGAATAATTTTTCCTAATACAGGATCTTCTTTCAATAAATGCCAGTTATTCCTAATTACTTTTTTTATTTGTTTATTTTTATTATTATAATCTAAGACAATAGGCAATACAAAGTCTTTCCCATTATTCTTAGTATTTTTTTAACCCTTGTTTTGGGTTAAAAGATCCTTTCTATCTGTGTTTGTAATATTTTCTATAGTTTTATCTATTTTTTCTTTATCATAACCTTTTTCAATAAACTTATTCTTCATCATGTTCGCCTGAGTGTTAAAAGTATTAGCATCGGAGCAATTTCTCTTCAAGCTAAGGAATTGACTTTTAGGGAAGCTGTCAAGCCAGCTCCTATAATGACAGCTATCTGTTCCAATAAAATTATTAACATGAACCGGTTTAAAATGAGTTTTTGTATTAAGTCTCTTATCTTCAATATAAATATCCAAATCTAAAAAAGTTACGTGAGTCTGACTAAAATCTGCTTTTAAAACTATACCATTGTTGTTTGTATTTAAAAAGTCTAAAAAAAGTTTAGCTGTAGAAATTGGACCTTTACATATAAAAAGATCATCAATATAGCAAAAATAGGCCACCAGACTCCCCACCCAGCCATGCCCGCTCCACACCATTCTCTCTTCCCACTCGGTCATGAAGAGGTTGGCATAGCTGGGCGCGAACCTGGTCCCCATCGCTGTGCTGTTTTTTTGTAAATAAAACGAGTCTTTAAACCAAAAATAATTATTATTTAGAATTAAAAAGATACCTTCAATTATAAAATGTATCTGTTCTTCTTTCATCTTTTTTTGTCTCTCTAGAATAGTTTTTACAGCTTTACAACCCCTTGTATGTTCAGTTATAGTATATAGAGATTGTACATCACAAGTTATGAGTACACAATCATCCTCCCACTCTATTGATTCTAATTTATTAAGTAGGTCCATAGTATCCTTAAGATAGGATCGGGACAATTTTACATAAGGCTGTAACATAATGTCTATATATTCTGACATATTTGATAGGCTAGAATCTATACCGGAGACAATAGGTCTTCTTGAGGGTCTTTCAGTGTCTTTATGAATCTTCGGTAGGAAATATATAACCGGTATCTTTGGAAATTTCTTGTTTAAGTAGTTGAATTCATCCGTACTTAGTATATTCTTATCCTTGCCTTAATTCAGAAATTTCTCTAACATATTTTTGATATCAGAGGTGGGGTCCCTTGTAAGTTTAACATATGTCTTTATATCATTCAATTGTCTAAAGGCCTCCTCTTCATACATTTCTGTAGATAAAATCACTAAACCTCCCCCCTTATCGGCTGGTTTTATAACAATAGTATCATAATTTTATAACTCTTTAAGGATTTCTCTCTCCCTTTTTGTTAGGTTATTTTTATCTCCTATATGTTTTTCACTCAAACTTCTTATACCTTTAGATACCTTTTTTTCAAATATATCTATTGCGCTTGACTTAAAATTTGACGGATAAAACTTACTTTTATGTTTTAGAGAGCTTTTGACATACATATCGTCACTAGTATTGTTAATATCTGTAACTTGATTATTTATCGTGTTGTTTTTGCTTATATAAAATCTTTTTATAGTAGCATTTCTTACAAACTTATTTATGTCTATGTATGCCAAAAAAGGGTTAAAAGTTTTTGTTGGGGCATATTTAAGACCTTTATTTAGTACTTTCAACTGTATATTCGTTAAGGGTTTGCCTGATAGGTTGAAGATCCCTTTATTTTCATCCTCATTTAAATCTTTGTTTAAAATCTCTCTGTCCTTCCTTTTTTGTTGTCGTCTACCTGACCGTCTTCCTCTAAACTTCTTTTGCGGCCTCTCGTTGGACTGATATGGTCGGACTGTCTTTCCCGGTTTGATGGAATCTCTAAAAAAGATGTCTCATCAAATTGTTCAGAGAAGGAAAGGGCATGGTATCTATTATGTTTAAGTGCATCATCAGGGGGGCTATTCTTTTCTAGTATTCTCATATCTATTATGAGTCCTCCTTTCCTCTCTTTCCCATGAGTGTTTATTGTCTTTGTTCTGAATTTCCTTAGGAGACCTGTGCTCTTGTGTTAATCTATATGTTTTTGGTCTTACAACTATTGGGGATTCTTTGATTTCAATCTGTGTATGAATCCTCCCTCTTCTATCTAAATTTTCTTTATGGTGAATGGTATCCATATTTGTTTTGTGTATTGGCATACTTGTGTGGTCTCTTGATTGTGTTTCTTTGTGGGGGTTATTTCTCATGTGCATGTCCATTTTTTTAAAATCATAATTGGTGGATTGTTTCTGTCTATTAATGTGCATATTTTTATCTGTCTCCATTCTTTGCTTATTTGGTGAAAGGTATAGTCTTCTTGGTGAATGTTGCCTTCTTAGTGCTTTTGGTGAATAATTTATATATCTGTAGTCGGGGCAATATAGCCGTATACAGAAATCTAGCATATAATAACCACAACATCAATGAGTTGGAACCAGTCGGTTGTGGTGTGCCGGAACTGACAAAGCAGTAGGCCTGTAATAAAAGTGGGCCTACCTTAGAGGGTGTTTATGAATAGATGGAGTGGTAGGAGGGGTGACTCGCCAGACCAGCAACGGTAAGGTGGGAGTATATTGGCAGCCCTATTAAAGGGAATTCAAGCCCCTCCCACAACTACAGGCCAAGCTTTCAAATTTGTAGTCGGGGCAATATAGCCGTATACAGAAATCTTGCATATAATAACCATAACATCAATGAGTTGGAACCAGTCGGTTGTGGTGTGCCGGAACCGACAAAGCAGTAGGCCTGTAATAAAAGTGGGCAAAAGAAAATACCATAAGACTTAATACGGTTAACCAACTTTATTTATTTAGATAAGTCACAGAAAGCTTGTCTTAATTCTTTAACGGGATAAGTTATGTAGAGTGTGTAGGCTGAGGATTTCCAGCGTCCCATTGCCTTGATAATGTGAGTGGGTACGTGATTAGCAGATGCTGTAGATGCTGCCCCAATTCAGAAAGAGTGACCGGAGAAATGATTGGGGTTTAGGCCGAGCCTAGTCAACAGTAGTCGTACGTAAAGCATACATTTTGTTGTAGTCAGAATGTTTCCATGCAGTTCTAGCAAAGGTTGTAGAGGTTGTTTGTGGAGTGAAAGGAAATAAGCGTCAAAAACTTGTACTGGGCACCATTTATTATGAGTGGGATACAATGAGATTTCAATAGTATGACCTATGGTGCTGGTTTTTGATTGTTTTAAGAATAGTAAGTAATGGTCGTTATATTTTTGTAAGTCCATAGTTGTTAGTTAATTGGGGGTTGTAATGGTCGTAGTCGTGAATTCGTTGGGACGGAGGAACCCATAAAAAGCTAAATATATAGCAGTATTAGTTACAGTATTAGTTATGGGTTTGAAAGGAGAAGAATCTAATAAATTGATTAGTTAATGGAATATGTTGTTGTCTATGGGTAGTCTTTGTGAAGGGACGTGTGCGTCCAATTTTTAAATGCCTTTTAGTACTGTCTTAATTTGATATGAGGTCAGGAAACCTGTAGCGTTGGGTTGTTGGATAAGCATGTGGTGCTGAATGCCCGTAAGGTACAGTTTTATAGTGTTGAATGATAATTTAAGGTTGATGTGGCAAAAAGAAGTGAAACCCAATATTGATTCTAATGTGAACATGTCGTGGATGTGGAATTCAGTAATGAATTTCTTGAATACGTGAAAAGCTCTGTCATATGTGTGAGGTGAGAAATGTGACATGCGTGTTCTAACAAAGCCTCTAATCCATTATCATGTCTCAGAAAAGTGAGGCAGGAGTTGCCAGTCTGGAAGCGGAGGGTATTGTCGTGAAGAAATCCTGAAAACGAAATGGAGACAAGTGATCAGCACCAGTGTTTGTGTACCCTGGAACGTGAATACATGTGATAAAGAATTGACAGGTGGCCGCTACCCATGTGAGTCGTCTTAGGAGTCTCATAATTACCAGGGATGCCAACCGGCCTTTCTTGACAATATGGCATGTAGCCATATTATCCGAGTAGCACCTAACCGTGTGACCGGACCAATGTGGTCCCCAGGCAATGGCCGCCGCCACGATTGGGTACAGCTCAAATAAAGGTGAGGTCTCGGTGAATTTGGGCAGTGATTTGACTTCGGTTGGCCATGGTCCCCAAAGCCATTGATCTCCGGAGATGGCTGCAAAACCTGTGTTTGCTGCGGCATCTGTCCACAGTCTAGGTGAAGCGTCAGGGTGGGGTGGTATAAACATGGCCTGCCCATTCCAAGAGGTGAGAAAAAAAAAAACACATACATAAATCAGAGGTTGCGTGGTCGTCTAATGTGATACGTGAAGTGTCTGAAGTGAATTGTGGAAATAGGGATAGTAGATGTGAAATGAAAGATCTACCTTGTGGAATGATCCTCATGGCAAAATTGAGTGACCCCAGCAGTGATTGAAGTTCTTTCCGGGTGCAACACCCTTGCAGTAGGTAGTGTTCGATACTTGCCAGGGTACACTCAATTTTGTCCTGAGGGAGGCTAGCCTGCATGTGTACCGTGTCTAGTTGGATCCCCAAAAATTGCATGTTGGTGTCTGGACCCAATGTCTTGTGCGGGGAGACTGGGATAGTGAGGGATTCAAACAAAGCCAACATGTGTCTCAAACTACTTGGGGGGAGTGTGTTGTTCTCAATCATGAGGAAATCATCCAGATAGTGAATAACCGAAGGACATTTACACAGGAAGGACATTAAGTAATAACCAACACAAAGCCTCTGCAAATGTGTCAAAAATACATGGGCTACTTTTGGAGCCAAAAGTGAAACGGGTGAAGAAATAATATAACCCTTGCCATTTAATCCTGTGAAGGTGCCAAAGGGAAGGGTGCATGGGAAGTAACTTGAAGGCATTCACTACATCCATTTTGCCTAACCATGCCCCTGTGCCTGCTTTAATGATGGCATGGTCGATAGTGGCGTAATGTAGTGAAAATTCTTCGGAAGGTATGAGTGAGTTTAGGCTGGGGACCGTGGAAGAATGTGGTGCAGATAAATCAATTATCAGTCTAGGTTTCAGTGAATTCTTCCCAGTGACAACCCCAGTGGGGTTGGTTCTCCAAGATGTGAAGAGTGGTGAAAAGAATGGTCCCTACAAAAACCCTTGTTTCACCTCGGTCATGATAAGT